ATGAGATTTCAAACATTGATAAAGCCATTTGGGTTATCATAATTGTAAAATATAGTTATAACAGTGCTAAGTGAATGGCAGCGGCTTGATACATGACATTACTGAATTAAATGTGGAGCCTGATCAGATCAATGATATCTCTGAATGTTATCTACTATTGGAACAGCAGTTAGAGAAATCACATCAAAGGTGATGACATTCAGACTTACAATCTCTGACTCAACATTCTGTCATGACATACTTAAAACATTCCCTATTCAAGACTGTTTTGGGCATGTGTTAAAACATATGTAGTAGAAAATCACAAGCTCTCATCATTTCAGTCTGGGAAGACGTAAATGGAGGACATTTTGTAATCCTCTCATTTTTCTCTTTGCAACTTTCTTTGTATTGAACTCCTTGATGTTTCTTTAAGTTGAACTTTTCAAAATATCTTTTCTGAATGTTAAAGTTATTTTTTAAGAGCTGTATTTCATAGATGTGCTCTTTTTGTGTACCCAGTAATCTTTGAAATGAGTTTGACACTGTACCTTTATGAGTTAGCCCCTACTTATTCATTTCCCAGTTTGAATCTAATTAATTTTTGTAGTGCCTTTCTGGAATAACTATATTTTTGCAAATTAATGTTGACAAAGGGAATTTAAAAGAGCTTCTCCATAAGTATAACAATGTTTTTAATAGAAAAAATGCTAAACTGTGAGGGAATTTCAGTTATTAATTATTCTCTCAGCTAGTTATTACTTTTAAATTTATTGAAACTTCAGCTCTGTGGTCCAATTACACTAAGATCCACTATAATTAACATTTCCTTAGTAAAGAATGTCTAAACACAGCTTAATCTATTTCCCTTGATCATGTTCTTAACATATTTATAAAGAGTAACTTGGAAAAGAGATTTTAGTTATTACAGACAAACCTAGAGCTCCCCATTTTGTAAGTTCTACATTTCTTTTTGCAGTAATTTGCAGTAGATAAAGTTTTTTTTTCCTTATCCCAAGTGTATCAGATCAAGCTCATTGTTTAATTTGATCGGATGTAAACTTGGGCTGTTAATAATGGACCTCAACAATGAGAATGAGCTCTTGGCATGAACCAAATAAAACTGTCAGTGCCTGAATTTATAAATTTCTTTTGATTGTGCTTTCATGACAGGATTTTTTATTGTTTTATAATTTATTCATTTCTTTTATGTTTCCTGTTTTTTTACTATTTGGTAAAAAAAAATATTTTTTTAATGAAATGAAAATGAATTACTTGCCACATGAATACATGCAAATAGGGATGATATTATTTGAACTATAAATAAGCCTTCAGGCTAGTAGAGCCAAGTAATATACAAGATTTAGATTTAATGAGGAAAATATATATATAAATAAATCTTTTAAGAAATTTCAATTTAAAAAGAAAATGAATTAATTTCTATGTAAACATTTTACTGCCATATTTAGCAGCAAAATTTTATCCAGTGTAATTTTAATTATTCCAAGCAAATTTTATGATATAATTGAATGAGAGATGAATTTTCGTACTTGAGCAATGCTAAGTTACACCAATTGGGTGAAACATGTTGGGTCGTTTGGGCCAACCCCACTAAGAATGTTTGCCAGTTTTGAAAGTAGTTTTATTTTCAAGTAAGGAAGGACATAATAGGATACGAGTATGTGGTTTTTATAATAATTTTGTGCAGATGCACCGCATATGATGAGATCCCTCCCCAAATCCAGCCCTAACACTAAATTGACTCTATCGTTCACTCCTATCCCCCAAAAAGAAGAGCATTTCATTTATAGGTTGTTTATTATATCAATTTAAATTGTGTCTGAAATAACTGTTTAACATGCAGGTGCCATCTCTTTTTTGTTGCAAGGAAAAATAAAGTTCTGTCAAATTCTATGTTTGCAAAAAGTAAAAAATATGCATGCAGTTATGTAAAAATATTTGTTATTTATAGTTATCGTAGAAATGAAATGTAATCTTGGGATGTAACAAAATGTTGTTATAATTTTTGTTTTTTTAATTACTAATTCATTTAGAAGGACTTGACCCTCAAAATGCATTTAAAATAACTTTTTTTTTTACCCTTCTTTACAACACCCATTTTAATAAAATTAATTGAATTACATTTTGTCATACCGGTGGTAATACAATGTAATTCCACTTTTTAAAATGAAATATCAACTCTGTAAGTGTAAGCAAAATTAGTTCTAGTCTTCTGATACCTTGGTCAAAACAATGGAGAAAAGAATGAACATATGTCAAATTGCCTAACCCCACCCTTATCATAACCTAAGAACTGTTACTCCTTATATATCATCTGCTCTAAATTCTGTTGTTTTGACAAGTCTTGCTCCCTGTCTATTGTAAAAAAAAATCTGCAACAGGCTCTTGACAGCATATTATTTGTTCATTGTGAGTGCATAGTCCTAAGCATTGGCTCAAACCTATAAAATGATTCCTATCAGCCTTCATTGGTGTGGCTCCAAGGTTCTTCCGGTTATGGGTTTCAAGGCCGCCGACCGCAGTTCGCTCACTGACTTTGCAACATCCATCACTATTTATTTAAGATTGTAAAATAAGTTTTGTGTACACTTGTAAATTTTGTGCTTATATTTCATTCATTTATTTCAAGATGTTGATTGACAGAACCTTGTCATATCAGAACTTTAATGACCTACTTGTAGAGTTGAGATGGGCTACCCTTTTTCCCACTGCTGCTGTAAAATATGTAACAAATGAGAACATTTACAAAATCTCCTTGCTATGAAGGTATAAAAAAAAAAGACAGAAATTATACTATTTATAATTAAAATTTAAAAAAGTAATTCTTTAAAAAAAAAAAACTCAAAAGATTTCACCCCCATATTTAATGCTACTTTTCACACATAATGAGAACATTTACAAAATCTCCTTGCTATGAAGGTATAAAAAAAAAGACAGAAATTATACTATTTATAATTAAAATTTAAAAAAGTAATTCTTTAAAAAAAAAAAAACTCAAAAGATTTCACCCCCATATTTAATGCTACTTTTCACACCTGGTTGAATTGTATAACTGGCACATCTCAGCTTTGTCTCTAAAAATTATTTGTATTACCAATACAATCGAGACCTTAGTTTTGATTTATGAATACAACAGTATACAACAATGCTTTTTGAATATACTGTTTAATGCAATTTATAAACTGAATTTTTAAACTGAAATGTAAGTAAGTGGTTGTAGGAATAAGCTTGGATAAACATACTTATTTTTAAAAACATATAATATCTTTCTGTTTTACTTTACGAAAATTTAAAAAAAAATTTTGTGTAAAACTTGGCTGGGGTACGGCACTATAGAAAAGCACCTAATAATAATAATACTATTACAGAACTTAATTTCATTTTCTAAATCCTAGCAAAACTATTGGTCCCTTGGCTTCTGTCGGAAAAGGTTACCCACCCACGCTGTAGAGCACTGCTGTAATATCTGTAAATACAATGGAGAAAAAAAAATCGGTGCACATTTCCTTAAATCTGGAAAATAGGATACTAGAGATCTAAAAAAATTTCTGGGCTATGCTCTTAAGGCCAAATCAATTTCAAGACCAGTTTTTTTCAAAGTAAAAAAATGCATTTCCTCTAACAGCTGATGCCTTAGAGAGATGTAACAATATCGACATTCATAAAACAAAGCAGGTTATTGGCTTAAAAAAAGTTGTTGTTTTTTATATGTCTTATAACTTTAAAAAAGAATAATTATGCTCCAAATTAACATGGGTGTGTTGTTTTTACTTCCCTGTTTTTCAAAACTCTTGCATGATTAATATACATGTTTAGGCTTTATTCCCATAGTCTTGTTAGGTTAAAATCAAAGTAAGAAGTTTGAGAATGAACTGTTACATATTTGGGTCGTCCGAAATAATTGGGAAACAAATGTGTTCCAGTTGAGGCCTTCGGTCATGTGCCATCACACTGTAAAAATATTTGTTTCGCATTTTCCTTTTTAGTGTAAAGCCTTCGCCTGTTTTTAATATATATTTTTTTCTGATGTTTGCAAATATGCCTGTTGCTCAAGAGCCAGTTTGTGTAGCAAATGTAAAAAAACAAAACAAAAAAACAACAGCCAGCAAGTTTAGTTGATGTTATCGTTGTTCAAAGGTTAAGTTAGAGATGTGAAACAAATTGGCTCATTCATATGGTAAATGTTTCCAATCACATATTAACACAGCTGTGAATGGCAAGACTTTGTGTACATACATATTGAGGGTTTATTAATTGTGTAGCCAGTAGAGTTGTTGCACTCTTGTATTTGAGTTTTTGCACTGTGTTTGAAACTTATGAATTCTATTTTTTTTTGGGTCAAAATTCAAATTATGAACATTTTTTAAGGTGGAAGAGCAGTGCAGGTGCAAAGGGTTTTATTTGTGTTTTAAAGTCAGAGAATATTGTTGGGATGCAGTGGTTTTCTCTGTTGGGTTGTTCAAGTATTTAGTTCTGAATGTAACTCACTCTAGGGCTCTGAATGCCATTAAAATCAGACCCCCCTTTACCTCTTTCTCATAGATTTGATTGGGGGCCCTAAACACCAGTTTGTGATGGATAACTCAATTTTCTTTTGATAGATGATTCAAATTGGACCATGATCTTCCTAGCCATGTAGTGTTTTCATTCAGCTTTTACTTTGATAATGGATATTGCCTCCAGGCCCTTTGTATGAACAATATTCACTCTCAGGCACAACTGCTGGCCAGTGCTTTTTGAATACCAGTGGGAATACCAGTGGGAATACCAGTGGGAATACCAGTGGTAATACCAGTGGTAATACCAGTGGGAATACCAGTGGTAATACCAGTGGTAATACCAGTGGTAATACCAGTGGGAATACCAGTGGTAATACCAGTGGGAATACCAGTGGTAATACCAGTGGGAATACCAGTGGGAATACCAGTGGTAATACCAGTGGTGATACCAGTGGGAATACCAGTGGGAATACCAGTGGTAATACCAGTGGTAATACCAGTGGTAATACCAGTGGGAATACCAGTGGTAATACCAGTGGGAATACCAGTGGGAATACCAGTGGGAATACCAGTGGTAATACCAGTGGTAATACCAGTGGGAATACCAGTGGGAATACCAGTGGTAATACCAGTGGGAATACCAGTGGTAATACCAGTGGTAATACCAGTGGTAATACCAGTGGTAATACCAGTGGGAAATTTCTAAAACAATTTAGTTTGTCAACCTCGCCTAGTGAACGTTATAAAGTACCTACATGCAGTGGTTTGCAAACCAAGGGGAACAGCACTGCTTCTATTGTTTGGATAATTCTTTCTAGATTGGTGCACCCCCAAACCCCTATGTGCCACAAAGACCAAGTTTAAGCACAAACTTTAATGTTATGAAATCTGCCATTGCCCAGCTTGAAGTGTGAACACGTTAAATGACTAAAATCAGTCAGATTTAATTTAATTAGCTTCTAAATTAACCTTGTTTTGTCTTGTTGGTCTGGACCTTTTAACATTATGTGCCTATATGTACGATATACCAAAGGAATCAACGTACGCTAGACCATATAAAATCTCTAGACCATATCAAATCTCGCTCTATTTTTGACATGAATAATAAAACAATGTATTTATCAAGTAACCGTGTCTGTTTTGTTGATCTTTAACTTTTAAAAATCCTCCTCACTGCTGCCCTTGCTACTGAAAGTATTTGGCTGACCTACACCGTGTCCGGGAAAAAAAGAAAAATAATCCTTTTTATAATGAGGAAAACTAATGGTAAAAAATGTATCAATTCTTAAAATTACAAAACTTATTTTAATTCTAGCATACAATTTATTTAACATGATAAAATTATGGTTTGTGTTTGACGTGTCCAACATTCGATTCAACACCGGCGTCAAGACGTGCTCTCCACTGACCAGTCATTATCAAAAAGGCTCAAGTTTTTCGGGAGACAGTGTAGATTCTAGAACTTGATGAAAAAAATTGATGTGATTTTTTTGGTGGGTTGTTCTAATGTTGTGCCAATGTCAACACGTGAACCCCCAAAAGCCGGGTCCAAGCCACGATTTCTGGCGCCCCTGGCCGGAATGGAGTTAACTTGGTTGGCACTGAATGCTATTGAAAAAAATAAATAAATATAGGTTTATTATTATTTTTTTTTAAAAATATTGACGCCAAGAGAGCGTTAATTGCTATTCGTCAAATCTCGCTGACCGTGTTTTTCTAGGGTAGTCGACCTCTGCGCCCAAATCAGAGTTTTTTGTAATCTAGAAGCCCAACTAGAGCAAACCCTGGACAATGATATCATCAGCTGTAAGCTAATATAAATATTAGCAGCGAAAAGACGCGGACTTATCTGAGCTATTTTTCGCCCAGGGGTCTACACCGAAAATTCTATCTATCCTTTTCCCAGGAATTTCTCTGGTATCGGTTGTATTTTTTTTTTAAAGTTTGCTGAAGCTTCTTATTTTAGACCGTTCGATTTTTACATAAGGGATTTTAGATTATATAAATTTTCTTTCATGTTTTTTTTTTAATGTTTCCATAAGTGACTATGATTGTGATTGTCCTCAAATGTTTTGAAATCTGATTTACAGATATTTTTGACGTTTCAGAAATTTACAAATGTGCCTTGGGGTTCTAAAGTCAGTGTATTTACCTTAAAACGGCCAAAGCTATACTTGAAGGCTTAGGCTACAATGCTATCAGCTACGTAAAGTGTTGCATCTAAGCCAAACTTGGCAAACATGCGCTTCATAATTCCTTGTAAAATATCGCTGGATCTCAAACTAATATCTTTTTGTGCAGTGGTTTTGTTTTGTTTTGGGTTTTTTTGTTGGGAGGGGGGAAGGAGGGGTGCACTTTTATTTTAAATTAAAACTACATTCCTTTTGCGTTTTTCAAACAATTTCAATGGGACAAGTTTAAAAATAAAGTTTGTTTGTTATCCAACGTAAAATACTCAATGATGTAAAATAGAAAGGCTAAGCTCTTTTTTTCCCCGAGGACCCCATAGTAAAACTTAAAAGGAAACATTTTTTAAAAATTCTTCATAATTTAATGTTATACATTTGGAAAAAAAAACAACTTGAATATATATATATATTCGAATGATTTGTGTAGTTCTCTTATCTAAGGGATAACTAAAATGGCCTATTTTGAATAGGGATCATGTTTCATTTTCATTGATAAACTGACCATGGCTTTGGCATTGGTAAATTACCCCCTTTTTTTTAAAAATAAGGCATTAAAAAAAAAGTTGGAATTGATCTTTAAATAAAACCTATTCTTTTTTTTAAAATAAACTTAATGCCATTTTAATTAACTACAGTTGTACCGGTATGTGGAAGTTTGCACATTATTACAAGTATCATATAGCTCAGTCCCATACCTAAACAGTGCCCAGTCGTTCCTATGGGTTTACCGACCCAGGGGTTCTGTGATTAATTTCTATGGCCACCTATATACTATATTTGTGTTGGGAAAGGAGAATCACAAGTTGGAGATGTAGCCCCAAACAGCATTTAGTCAAAATATGGGTTGGTGCATTTTATGAGGATATTAATGTCTCGAAGGCATCATTTGCTACACACGGACAATTTTCAGTTAATATTTTATTAGTCCTTTAAGATTAAATTATTTAAATGTTGTATATTCATTATAAGCTACTTTAATGCAAAGTAAGTTTCTTTCTAAATTTTATTACTGACATGCGATAATCACGCGGTAGAGCAGTGTCAAAACTTGGGTCTGACTAAAAGTCTGGTGAGAAAAATAGTCACCCGCGAGGTGAGATGTTTAAGGCCAGCCATCTCAATCAGCCTGTATACGGCCCAACTGGGGCCGCCCAAGAACAAAGTGGACAGGCTTGGACACCTGGTCAGAATGCCTGTCAACAAACCTGAATTGCAAACGTACAATGGCAAGTTAGGGTTATGGTCCTGCGTACAATGCATGCGTACAATGGCAGGCACTCAGTACAATGGCAAGCACTCGGTACAATGGCAGGCATTCTGGTTTCAGGAATATTTAATGAAACGGGACAGGCCCCAAATGTTTACAAGTTGTAGGCTATCATAAATCTGAACTTTTATAGGAGAATATTTAAATGTAATAAACAGTTACTGCAGTGAAGTGGGTTTTTTTTCGGCACGTGTTCGCTTATAACACTATGAGATTCTTCTCAAATAAAAACCCGAGAAAGGCGGGCTTATCTGCTAGTATTTTAATAAAATAATGAACTTATGACTTATTAAAGCTTTTAAGAATCAGGAAGCAAAACCAGTTGAGAAAGTAAAGGCGCTGGCAGGGTTAATGTAAGACATGGCTTACCCTCTGCTTTCATGCACCATTAAACAGGCCAACATTATGGTGCAGAAATTTTAAGACGTATGCATTGAAAGCGTTTCTTACTTGCTTGTCATATCCACCGTCTCAGCTTTGAGCTTTTTATCTGCAGTAAAACCTGGAAATAATCTGAATACCGCTGCCCCCGGTATTTTGCGCTAAATCACCTCGGCATTGAACGATTTTTTTAAACACGGGCGGAACCTGCAAATAGCACAATTCCTTCAAATAGCACCACTTTTGCCTAGGTGCAGGGAAAGAAAGAGATATAAAGACAGACATACATAGGTAGTTGATTTATATAATATAATTCAGCCTATCTGTATATTTGAAAACAAAACAATTTAATTTTCTTTCAAAATTAATATTAAAAAAAAACCAACAACAGTTATTTCCACTGACATCGTCATTAGCATCCAATAAATAATTACATAGTGTACACACTTTCAGACGGCATACTTCCATTCGACAATAAATAATTACATCATGTACACACTTTCAGATGGCATACTTCCATTCGACAATACATCGTTACATCGTGTACACTCGTTCAGACGGCATACTCCAATTTGGCCAAGGGCCGGACTCAGATTGATGATTACACAAGATAAAAGAGACGAGGCTCTCAACAAAAATATCTCAACTCTTTACGCACTGCGTGCTGAACGATAGCAAAACTAGTCTGACTGCCTGACACAGGCCACGCAGTGGCGTAGCTAGGGTTGTTGTCACCCGATGCGGTAAACTCATGGTGTCACCCCCCCCCCCCCCCACAATTTCCATGATGATTTTTTTCTTGTTAAAATAAGTCTACAATATTGCAATAACAAGAACCAAAACGAATAAATCGAAGGTCATGAAGTTAATATATTTAAAAACGTTAAGTTAAAGCTGTATTTACTTTAAATTTACAATTTAAAATTTTCCTTTCCTTGTCTTCAAAGCTGCAAACCTGTCAATCACTTTATCAAAATCAATGTTTTTCAATGTATCACTTTAAATAGATACCAGAGCCACATCAGAAAGCCTTGACGGTCCCATGATGGATCATAAATATGCCTTGATGAGCCTTAGTTTTGAAAAGCTCCGCTCACATGAAGCCAAAGACTC